TTACAGCCAATCATGAACTTGAATGACTGGGATCTTCTAAATCTCTCTCTCTCTCTCTTTCTTTTTTTTTAATTTTTTTGGTCTTTTTGAAGCAGGGTCTCCCTGTAGCCCCAGCTGTCCTGGAACTCACTATGTAGACCAGGCTGTCCTTGGACTCACAGAGATCTGCCAGCCTCTGCCTCTCGAATGCTAGGACTACAGGTATGCGGCACCACACCCAGCCCTAGTTGTCTGATTTTTGTGTGTGACAGAGTCTCATGTAGTCCAGGCTGGCCTCAAACATGCTCCTTCCTAAGCTAAGATTACAGGCAGTACCACCACAGTTTATATGGTGCTGGGGACAAACCCAGGACTTTGTGCGTCCTGGACCAGTGTTCTACCGAGTCACATCCCCACCCCTGAACACAGTTTTTACAAATACAGATTTTGACCCTTATTTGCGTGAATCAGTAGACCCCAGGTGTAGAGGGCTGACTATTTCCTGCCTGTGTTTTTGCACATTTTGGTGTATGTGAGCACTGTGGGTTGGCCTTGGCTGTCTTGTGCTGTGCCATAGCCTATGGCAAGTAAAGCCCTCCCTAAACTCTCCTTTCCTCCTGCAAGTGATGCTCTTGGCCGTGTCCTTTGGAAGAAGTGCCCATTCTCAGCAGAGGCCACAGCTTTCCGTTCACTGTGCTCACCTTTCTGCCTCCAACAGTGACGGGACCCTGGGGTGGGGGTGGGGCTCTCACATCTGCTTCTGGGGCAGGTGCCAGGCCCAGGCTCTGCATCTCTGCCTGTGGGTGTGGCTCAGCAGCCTGGGTGGTGCAGGGGTGAGGGACTGCTCACCTGCTGCTGCCACCGCCGCCAGTTAACCCTGGACCTTTGTGCTTCAGACAAGGATTTTTCACTTCACCTGCCCTGCCCCATGGGTCACTTTCTGTCCCCAGCTATGGCTAGTCTGGGAGGCCCGAGAGGGCTTTGTCTCAGGAGTGTCTTGGCGCTGCTGTCTTTTGGAGCACGTTTCCCCCAGGTAGCCTCTCACATGGAGTCTCATCCTCAGCTAGCACAGCTCTCAAAGTCCTTGCTCCTAGAACTTCCTCACACTCCAACAGCTCACTGTACTTGCTTGTAGCGATCAGCGTTTGGTAGTTAAATTGACAAGTACCTTTAACTATTTAAAAAGGATAAAGACTAAACATAAGTTAACACAAATAACATTCTAAAATTGAGAAATGGCTTTCCCAAAGTGGAAAAATGTTGTAAGAAGCGTGGCATTGCTTTTTGCCACTCTTGGGAGCTAGGTCCCAGGGGCAGCTTTGTGTGGGTTCTGCTGGGTTTGGCCTTCGTAGAGACTGGGCAGAACCGCACTGAGCACTAATGGGGATGAGGGTGAGGTGATGTTGCTAGACTCTTTCCTTGGTCTACTCTCTCTCCTGAACCTCTTCAAGATGACCCTGTGCACTCTCCTTGTATGTGTCGGCCCTGGAATTCAAGGGCCAGTGCCCCGGAGTTCCTGGGTAGCTAGCAGGGGAAACATAGAGGCAGCCATGCTGGACCTGGGATTGGAGTCTGCTCTGTCTCCAGTCCATGTGTATCTGGACTTTGCTGTTTATCAAGATGGTTCTTGGTGGGATGTTTTAAAATCACCCTTCTCGTGCCCCCATGCCCCTGGGACTGGGCAGCCCCTGTTCCCTGCCCTGCTCTGGTCCATTTGGATGGAGGATTTGCCAGGTGGAAGGTACCTTTTGTTCTGCCAGCAGCACTGCCTCCTGATAGCTCTGAGGGGGAGCTTGCCGCTACCTCAATGTGGCCCTGCAGGCCTCTGTGACAGACCCCTTTCCCTCTGGCTTCCACGAGCCACTCACAGACTCCTCCAGGAGCTGGTTGGCCCTGATTTCTGGGCAGGGCATGGCCACTTGTCATTCCTGCCCTTTATTTCCTCCCTCTGCTTTTCCTCTCTTCTCCTTCGTCCTTTTCTCAAGGTTGAGGCAGGTCTGTGACTGCAATACCAGAGTGAGAACTGAGCCTGTGAGTGGCCACTGTGCCCACTGTCCACCTGTTCCTGCTCCTACAAGGCGACACCTTGTATCAGAATGGGACCACATACTCAGAGGCCTGCTCAGGATTGAGCTGTGTTCTGGGCCCACCTCCAGGGCCCCTTCTGTTCCCTTGGCCCTTCTTTTGGGGTGAATTTTGCTTGAGCCTGCCTTGTGGAAGTACAACCGTAGCCCTTCATCCTGGGCTTGTTTCTGAGCATCTTCTGGAGGGAGTGAGAGGGAGAGTTACCGCGTATTGTCAGCCCATCTTTGCCCCTGGCCGCTGTGCCGCGAGGCTGGGGCCTGCCACCTTCCCTGCTCTCCTAGAGTGCAAAGTGAGCAGAGCCCCACTGCTGTAGGAGGCAGCCACACTCTGCAGCATGACACGGCTGGTCCTACCGTGATTGCAGAAAAGATGGAGGCTGCGAGAGTGTGCCTTAGACCTGTGAGGGGAAGCATTGCCCTACCCTGACGCTTAACTCTGTCAAGCAGGTGTTTGGGGAGACCTATGGCATCTGGGGGAGGCTTCCTGAGTGGAGGCTGTGCTCCGGTTACAGCTTGAAGGGTCTACGTCTGGTAGCTCCTGTCCCAATGGAAGGACTGAAGTGCTGTTGGGACCACCTAGGGCACTGGTTGGGTTTTGTCTTCTGAACTTGGCTACTCTCAAGGTTCCTCTGGAGTAAGGGTTGGGGAGACCCACCCTGGAGGTAGGAGGAATGCCATCAACTGCCCATTCCTAGCTGCTTACTAACCAGCAGCTTCTTAAGCAAATGCTCTCTACTGGTTGGGCCATCTCTCTTACAAGCCATCTGTGCTAAGGGAGACAGGTGAGAGGTGACTCCCAGTCCCAGAGTTAGTACCTCAGCAGTGCCCAGGCTGGGCATCAGCAAGGGTGTGGCCAGTGAGTTCTTGTTAGTGGCTGAGATGGGCATCCAATCTGGTGCCATTGTCCAGTCCTAGGCACTGTGCAGGTGGCATGGAAGCCATCACTGGTCTGGTTGAGCACCTGTCCTGTGTGGGGCTTGGCCTGGAAGATTTGTGACTCAGCAGAGATTTCCTCACTTCATGTGCCTTCAAGTGTATGTGTCCTCTCTTCAGGGCTTTGGCAAGGCCAGGGGATGGTGCTGGGATGGCTCTTTGTTTAGGAAGAGCACCTGTACCCCTTCCTTGGTCTGCACAGCCTGGACTCACCTGCTGACTGTACTGCCTGGCATCTAGCAATCAGTGCTGCTGAAGAAACAACCTATGACAGGCTGGGGCAGGCAGCTTGCTGCGTGGGGCAATGTGCCCCATCTTGTGCCTGTGTCGGTCCAGGTTTCTGGGGCCTGCTTACCCTGGGTCATGGACCTGCACCACCAGTGGTGTGATCGGCCCTGCTGACTTGCCGCATTCTCCATGACAGCAGACCCCACAAGGGCTTCACCAGTGGGAAAGAGCCGAGCAGGAGAGTCCAGGGGCCCCACAGGGAGGAGATTACATGGGAGGCTTCACTGAGCTGGACCGACCCCTGTCACAGCAAGGTAGAGGACACCACAGATGGCAGGCAACCAGACACTTCCTGCACTCTGGTGTCACCTGAGTGGGTGGCCGTGGGGGGTGAGGGTGGGGCGGACTGTAACCTTGGCTCCAGTCCCCAGCCGCTGAGGCGAGGACTCTTCTTTCCGCACCAGGTTTCTTCCTGTAAAGTGGGAGTGATCACCTTCTTTGCCTTGTTCAGGGGTAAGGACAAGCTAGTCCCTACAGTAGCACCTCACACAGTGTCTA